TCGTTCGTAATTCGTTTTTCATGTGCAACTATTTTTATTTTTTTTTATGAGAAAAAACTTCCATTTAGTTAAGAAAACATTTACTATTATTAATGTCATTATTATTATTTTTTTCGCAAATACGGTTTATAAGTTTCTTGTAATATATATATATATAGATATTATTTTTTTGTATTTAAGTATTTACATATAAAATTATGGTCTTTTCAATATGTTTCTTTATAAAAAAGTTCATTCTGCTTATTTGTGAACCAGCTCATAATTTTATATTGTACGGTATTTATATAAAACTTGTTTTTTTTTCCCACTAATCAAATAGTTTTTTTAATTAAAAATTCATTTAATGCTTTTCAAGAAATCAATTCACTAATCGAATCTTTTTTCATTCTAATTTTTCATATCATTTTACAACTACTTTATCACAACGTAATCGAAACCCAGGCAATTTATTATAACACGGTATATAGGTTAAATTACAATTTACTTTCACGAAAATACAAGAAAAATCAATTCAAACAACTATGACGAATGTCACGGCTTTTCCACAGGTTCGAGACTTCCTGAGAAAATGTAGTCTTTCGCAGTATTATGACAGATTCATATCCGAAGGATTCGATCAGCTACAGTCGGTAGGTTATCAACTTGATCAGCTCTTTTTTTGTTTTTGATTCGAGAGAAAAAGAAAAAAAGGCTTCGTTTTGTGTAGATTCGAAAGAACCGAAATTTTCGAGGAGGTGAGTATGCTATATAGCAAATGATAAATCGTAAAAAGTTCAAAACGTCGTTTTGCCACCTATATAACACGGAACATGTTCGTATTTGTTCCTTGGACATTCGAGATGGTTCTAAATGTTTCATTACATATTGTTCCGCATAAGGGACCATTTGTACCGAATTATGTCAGCAGTGGAGCTTTCTGTTCGTCTCACACACAAACCGGTTTTTAAGCCAATTTCCTTAATGTTAATATCCGCCCCAAAAATACGGAAATTTATTTTGGCCATTACGTCATGATATTTAATTAAATATAACCATATTAATTGCCCCTTTTTCCATATTTGGTTAGCTCCTCGATGTCACCGAATATGATCTGATAGCTATGGACGTCAAAAGAGGCCATCGAAGGGTAAATATAAAATATCTTATCGTTGCTCGGTAATGATTTAATTATTCAAATATATGATTCATCATGGATTCATGGATTACAATCTAAATTTCATTTTGTTTTGATCACGAAATTTTATAGCGATTGCAAAGAGAAATCGCCTCAATGAAGGGAGTTCCCCAAAATATGCCGTTATACATTCAACATGGGACGGTATTAGAAGACTCATGTGGTAAGTTAAAAACGCGTAATAAAAAATGCAATGTGTTTGGATTATTTGAAATTTCATTAATCTTTACCGGATTGTATCACGTGTAATCATCTCTTGATCCTTGGAATTAAGCCGTTTTTTTTTAAAAAAAAAATAAAAATAATTTTTTTTTTTATCTTTCCGTTTTTATTTTTATTTTTATTCGTTTTTGGTTATTCGATTAGCACTCGCGGATCATAATGCTTCACAAAAAATTCCTTACGTTAATGGAACTTCAAATTCAAGTGGAGCGACCGTTGTATCCCCTCAAATAAGAAGCAGGTCAACAAGAGACGATGATCCTCAGGATCCACCAGATTCCACGGAAGGTGGAAGTGCTAAGCGTAAATATAAACGTCACCCAAAAAGGGATAAGAACGCCCCCGTGAAGCCACTTTCCGCTTATGTCATGTTCGCTCATAAAGTTCGCGAAGAGTACGCAGGGCAGAATATTTCATTTCCCGATATGGCGAAGATCGTCGGTGATCGTTGGAAAACTGTCAACCCCGAGGTTAAAGAGGCGATCGAGAATGAAGCCGCCAAAGCAAAGGAGGAATACCAAGCGGCCATGGCAGTGTATAAGACAACTGATTATTGGAAGGTAAGTTGGATCCGATCTATCGCGGGGGGGAGGATTTTGATATTTTTTTTCTCATATCATTTTTTTTTGAAGAAATACCAAGAATACTTGAAAGAATTTAAAGAAAAATATGAATTAAACAGTAAGTATCAAAAAAAACATATCTTTTAACAAAAAAAAACACACATAAATCATGCTCAATTCTTCATTGCAGCTCGAGATTCAAGTAAATCACGTAAGAGACAAAATATCGAACCCTCACCAGATTCAGATAATGCGACACCTTCAGGTTATTCTAGTACGCGGTCAACTTCCGTTGGATATGAGAACGGTAGTGGAAATATAAGCAGTGGAAGCAGTAATGGAAACGGGAATGGACAACATTCCAAACATCAATTTCTTCCAAGTTCATATTCTAATCATGGGTATCAACAACAACAACATCATCATCCAAATTATCCCCCCCACTCAAGCAGCTATATTCCTCCATATACACATTACAACCCATCTATGCCGCCTTTCGGATATACGAACAATAGCATCGGACAAAATGTCGGTAGCACGTTTGTAACCCCACCATCAAGTAACAGTAACGGCACCCCGTCAACCACATTGGCAGACTTGTATGCCAAAGATGATAGTAGTGCCGGTGACGATCAATCTCAACGAGAAAATGTTAGTGGCGGTGGAAACGGAAGTAGCAATGGAAGTAGCATCGGAAGCGGTAGTGGTAGCGGCGGTAGTAGTAGCAGCAGTACCAGACAAGTTTTCGAGGATTCCGACAACTCAACTTCAAGTTCAAACACTCCTCCTGCCGCTTTTGTGGAAACTGAAGAGAACCAAAGTAGTAAACAAGCGCAAAAAAAAACGAGATCAGATCGCTAACAAATAAATGAAGTTCTCGTTGTCAGTCTGTACTTGAATATTATTTTAATTATAATACATATGTTTTTTGTTTTGTTTTTTTTTTTCACCTTTGGTGAGTTTTATTGTTTATCATTCATTTTACATCATGATACCGTATTGATTTTTTTTCCCCTCCCGATAATTTTCATTATGATTTCTTTTTGTTTTTCCATCCTTCAATATTTTATATTTCTAAGGTTCCATATATACTTTATTATATGATTTTTTTTTTTTTTTTTTAAAAAAAAAATAATTGGAGAGATATATATTCCTTTCGATATTCTTTCTCTGTAAATATTTTTCTTTGTACATTTTCAACTTTTTTTTTCGTTCAATGGAGATTCTTTTTTATTTTTATTTATTTATTTTTTTTATTTTTACTTTAATAACATTAAATAAGAACGCTCGTGATTTTGGAGTAAATTCTTTTTATCATCAGTATAATATTAATTTAATATTATAGTTTTAACTCGTTATAGTCGGATTATAATTTAATATTCCGTTTTATTTACAATACCTGATGTATCTAGTTCGTTCGTAATTCGTTTTTCATGTGCAACTATTTTTATTTTTTTTTATGAGAAAAAACTTCCATTTAGTTAAGAAAACATTTACTATTATTAATGTCATTATTATTATTTTTTTCGCAAATACGGTTTATAAGTTTCTTGTAATATATATATATATAGATATTATTTTTTTGTATTTAAGTATTTACATATAAAATTATGGTCTTTTCAATATGTTTCTTTATAAAAAAGTTCATTCTGTTTATTTGAAAGTGAATCGAATTTTTGAAAGGTTAAAATATCATATAAAGTTTTTTTTTATTTTCGAGGACGAACAAAGAAAGTCACGTGAAATTTGGATGTAATTATATGATTGTTCTTTTAATTCCGGGCAGCTTTAAAGGTCATCAAGTTATGGCCGTTAAAAAAAATGATTGTTTATGTAAAAACTTATAGTTTATGAATAATCATTAATGCCTATAACATATGAATTTGGATTTTACAATTACATAATAATATACGAACTTTGAATGAATAAAACAATAAAAAAGATTTTTAATTGGAAATAAGTTTCTGGCAAACTTTTCTTCGCTACAATCAAACGAACTTAAAGAAATTTTCTCAAGTTACCTCCTTACGCAATTATCGCTCTGTAATGCGCCAATCCGGCAATCCGGTAACAGCGGTCCATTCCCGAGCATTAGTTTAAAAAGGTCAATAATCCAATAACCGATAAAGCAAACAAAATAAACGGGCTAGGCTAACCCCTAAATCTTTAGCCGGGTCTAAGAAAAAATAAGCTTTGCCCAAAGTTGTGCCGACACTCTAGAGCTTGCGTGGGCGCTTTTTGGACTTAATTCTGGTAAGAATTAGTGATTTTATGCGCGCCATGCATGGATCTGTATGAATTTACTTTAAAAGGCAAAAAAAATGATTTTTTTGGTAATATAAGACTATAATAAAATCATAACTTGAAATCAATAATAAAATCCCGTCAAAAAGTCAATATTAAACAAACCCGTCGAAATATAGGGTTTTCGACTTTGCCTTTTTGCTAAAGTGAGTTTTGCCAGGCAACTATAATATGACTAAAATTAATTAACTTTCTCCCACATGCGGAAAATTTAAAAAATTGGAATCGTTACTATTTAATTCGCCTTTTTTTTTTCATACCTGATTTGTCCACTTTTTGACTTTATAGGTTTCACAAAAAATTGTCTTGATTTATGCCATTTCTTTTGTGAAATGTTGGATAATTTTGACCAGACCAGCGAGAAGATGTGGCAAATACATCGCTCAAAAGACGCAACACAATGATCACTTCCCTTATTTTTCGTAAAAGTGATTTAAGTGCTTTTAACGTTCACATGTTGAAAGAAAAACACACGAAAAATCTTATCTCACTTACCATATGTATAATACGTTGATAATGCTTGACTGCCAATTTAATCCAATTTCTAAATCGAGAAAACGTTATTGTTTTACTCAAAAGAACATCATTTTTTTTTTTTAAAAAAAAAGAAAACCGTAAAGGTATTATCGGCAAAATCCAGTATGTGATTCAGCCCTTTTTTTTTTTAATGTTGCGCAATTCGAAGGAATGTGATAAGAGATGAAATTTGAAAAAAACTTTGCTTTGTCATGTTATTTCTTGTCTGAAACAATACACATTACGCACGTTACAACTTGTTGACTCGAAAAGATTGACAGTTATTAATGTTTATTAATGTACGCCAATGGTAAACAATCCATTCATCGGATCGTCGAAAACTTCTTTTTAAAAGTTTCGTGATCCTTTGAGGTAATTTATCATTTTCTCTTTTTTTATTACCTAAAATAAGCATTAATAAGGTTAATATCTTTAACGGGAATCGAGCTTAGGCATTGGGATCTCAAACATGATTTGATTTTGAGTTGCTTCTTGGCTTTTTTTTTTTTTTTTTTAGAGATCTGGTTATGTGATGATGATAAATAAATAAGCAAAATAAGTAAACCGTACGCATCGAATCAAAAGCAAAAGGGAAATAAAATTGGGATTGCATTGAATTTTTTGTGATGATTTCCTTTGGGTAAATCATGTATGTGATTTGTTTCAATCAAACGCTTTGTGAATTTCCCTTTATGGAATTATGGAAAGAAATCAATTGATGTAATATGGTGTATGTTGGCGGTGGTAAGAAAATTTAGATTCCCTTTTTTTTTGTTATCGCCACCGGCTTATTTCATTTATTTATTTATTATACCGATCAACCTTAATCCTGCGACTGTGTCACAATCACAACGTTTCGGTCTTGTAAAATTTGTTTCATCGGTATGAAATTTATAAATTTTAATAACAATTCAAACGATAATTATAATAATTATTATTATTAATGTTATTATTATTAAAGTTATTGTTGTTGTTGTTGTTGTTGTTGTTTGATGTTTAATAATTTATTTGCTTACTTATTACATGTATATATTTTTTCTTTAATCTTTTTTTAATAATAAAAAACATGCAAATTTGGAAATCAAAAACTTTTGTTTTACCAGAAATTCCCAAATGATGAGTTATAAAGTGTCAATCAGTCCCTAGGTTTGAAAAGTTCTTGTCTATTTCAGTAAGTTTACACGAAGATGAATATTTATTGTAAAAATATTTTATGTTTGTTTAAAATTTGGAAGGATGGAATAAAAGAATTTTTAGTTGGAAATATTTTTATATAGATGAAGCTAATACTAATGGGTCTAAATCAATAACGATAAAATTAGTTTAGGTAATTCCATCAAACAAAACCGAAACCAAAAAAAAAAAAAGAATACAAGAATACAAGAATACAGGAATTGGAAGGATATATAAAATTTTGCTTCTTTTTAAATGGGGGAGGAATTATAAGCTGATAAAATGACAAAATTTTTTTTTCATTTTTTTCGAGACCTACGGTATTTTTCCATAAATAAAATTGAAGTGCAAAATTTTGCCTAGTACGTAAATGGAAAATTCATTAACAAAATGAAAACTGAACTTGGAGCTTTATTTAACCGTAAAACAAATGAGTCAACACTTGTTATATCACTCCTTTTAGAAAATCCGTCTATGAGATTACAATAATAAAGTTGCATACTTTGTTCATTTGTTAACTTTTCCAAAATTGTTACTTTTTTACATACAAAACGGGAGTTCTCATTTGTTAAATGTTGTTTTCTTTCAAACACAAAAAAAATTTTTTTTAAGGTTTGTTCCGCAGCATAATGAACCAAATTACGATGATCAAACTAAAAAGAAATGAATCATATGACGATTGATTTCCTTTAACAAAGAACACTTTTTAAATACAAAGAAAAAAAAAATTATTATTAATTATTATATGTTGTCATCACAATTATTATCGTTATGTCCTTAATGAAATTAATTCCATATTGTTGATCGTACACGTTATACACGTTTTTATTCCATTTTAAATCACAAAAAAAAAAAAAAAAAAAAAAAAAAAAAACTTTTGTTTAATTACTGTTTAAAGGAAAAAATATACGGACCCAAAAATCCGGTTTAACAATTTATGAAACAAAATTGAAACACAAACTTTAACCCCTCTTCCTATTCACGCGAGTTCTTTAATCAGAATCAAAAGTTGACTTGTAATCTTTAATAAACCTTTTTAAGTCATTGTGAAAAAGCTAATTTGTCAAAGTAAAAAAGATATGAATATATATGGCGCATAATGTAAAAATTGATCAAGTTTAAAATTTTTTATTTGAAAACAAAGAAATTTCTTGATGTGTGGGATTATTCGTAATACCAGCCACTCACGCATACAATATACACGCATACATTCTCACAAACATGTAATCTCTCCATCAGGTTAAGTCACAATCACCCAAATAAATATTAATGTAAATTTATAATTTGTGATTAAAGAGTGATAAACCTCTTATCGCGTAATATTAAGAAACGCGTTTTGACTAAACTCCGAAAAGGTATATATGCATATCAATACTTTTTCGGAATTTTAAAACTTTATTTGTCATTTTATTACATTTGTTGGAAAAGTAAATAAAATTTTGCGGTTGCGTTCAATTAGATTAATTATTGGCATGTATTTTATAACTATCTTTCAATCCAGTTTGGCAAGAATTATACTTTTTTTCAATTGTTCAATGAACTTTGTAAGTGTGATGACGCGCTTGCATTCATTCGTCTTTGTTAATTCCTGTTCAACCTTTTCTTTACGATTTCATATAACTAATTTGAAACTCTACAAAAATATTAGCAGGTAAAGAATATTTCATTGGAGTGTTGAGAAAGTGTCCGAAAAAAATTTTTTTGTTACAAAACGTTCAGAGATTTTTTTTTTTTACTTTTTTTTTTTTTCCTGCACTCACCCCATTCCTTTCGGAGTTTTTTATCTAGTAAGATTTACAAGATGTCGCTGATGAAAAATGTCATACCTTTAATTTACCGAAATTGAAACTTTATTTGATCCCTTGTTT